AAGGAAGGAAGGAAGGAAGGAAGGAAGGAAGGAAGGAAGGAAGGAAGGAAGGAAGGTCTATGATGGATATGTAGAAGGGGTGATCACATAGAATGGAGAATAATGATATTTTTTAAAAAAGCTCATATATTATCACTTTACCACATACTTCCCATGTTGAAGAAGCAAGAGCTCCATTCTTAGCTAGACCACAGCTGATTCCAATCAAGCTGGTTTCTGTCCCAGATTGATAAAAGCTACTGGTAACCTGCAACCCAACCAGGGGGCACCAGCCTTACATACTGTATGGTGTCCTTTTCTTCTGGCTCAGGATGATAGACTTTCCCCATAATCCCTTAATCCACTGTAAGACTCAAGTCTTATGGGTAATGTAAAGGGGGCATTGAGGCCTGCTTCATGTATTGCTATCATCACCAGAAAATGCATGTCAAGATTCAGTTAGATGAGAAAGAGCAGAGAGGAGGCATTAGAATTGTTACTTATATCTTTCAAGCCTGGAGCCAGGTCTAAAGTTCTCAAGTCTACTTTTGCTCCTTTTATTTGTTATCACTTTGCAATCATTCACTATTTAAAATTAATACCATGCTTTCATTGGAAAACTTATTCCACCCTCTATTTTTGGTAATAGCAAGAAAGTATATCTCTTAACAGTCTGTTTACGTCTGTTTCGCTATAATATAATCTCCTCTATTGATTTTCCCCCTTCTCCTCTTACCACAGTATTTCAGGATAGAATTAAAGCCTGCATGATTATGTTCCGATAAATATTAAAAGTGTCCATTTTTATGGAACTTCTGTCTTTACCTTTCCAAAGCCTTCTCTGTTGTCTGAATACTCTACACTTCCTGTATAGGAGGTGTACCTGTATGTCTCAGAATACGACTACACAGAGACTGGCTAGTTGTGGCATCATCTGTTCACCAGGAGAAAGTGATTAGCAATTGAAAGTGTGCCAAATCTGCTTCTTGCAAATAGGAGCAGATTTCAAAGATAAAATTCTTATCTCATCATTTGCAGCAACATATGATAATTGGATTTGTTTAGAAAAATACATATATATGTATTTGACATATGTTTTCTATGAAAAAAAATTGCTGTATATGTTCTCTTTTTAAAAAAATAAAAGTTAATGAGCAAAATATTTGTATAAATGAAGGGTTTTCTTTTCTTCTTGCTCTCTATTTCTTTCCAAATGATGGTTGTAAATTTCATTATATTAGCAAAACATAAAACTTGCTGTTTGCTTGAGTATGCATTTTACTAATCTGGTTGTTATACATATATTCTACCTATAGATCTCAAAGCTGGTAAAATGTTCCAGATTATTTCCCATTCAACTATGGAAACAGCCAAACTTCCTTATCTGAATTGTTTTTAGATCCATTTGCCTTCGCATCATGGTATTCTGACTCATTCAATAAATTTGATGGAAGTGACCTTATCTAGACATCTTGCTACCATTCCTTCAGCCTTCTGATTTGTTTGGTCTCTTTAGGATTTTTCATTAATATTAATTTATTTTCTGGCTGCTGGTGATTTTTTTCACTAACATTTTTATAGACTTCTTGTAAAAGCATGGCTGGCTCAGGAATTCTGGGAGTTGAAGTCCACAAGTCAAAAGGTACCATCATTCTTTACCTGTGGTCTATGGGAACACTCCCCCCCTCATCCAGCTGGTTGACAGCTGAATACAATGAACTTAACCACTGAGGTCCCTAGACTGAATTGAAAAACCCAATTTAAAAAGTGGTAATTCCCTGTATGAGGCATCTGAAAGGTAGTTCCAGAAGTGTATAATAATTTTGCAGGTTACATATGGTAATGTAAAACATAAATAATAAACCTTTATTTTTTAAAAAATAATTTCTTTTAGATGCATATTTTTTAAAGAATGCAAAAAATAGATAATATACTTCAAAACCTAGAAGAATATGGGCAATACAGTTAGAAAAGCAAATATGAGCCATGCTACATAAGTAGATATCCAAGAAATCTGAAACATCATATGACAAATATATTCTAATACATAATTAAAAGCTTATAATGTAACAAGACAGTCCACGTCCATTTTCTAATCAAAACATGTCTTTGTGAAGCTTTAAATGTAGAGTGGATTGAAATTTTATTGCATAATAACAGTAAAAAGAAGCTGTGTAGCGCCCACAATAAAGCTGTGAAGTGGTGTTATAATTGTAGTTTTTCATTAAGAGTAAGCAATAATAATAAGTGACAGATAACTAGTCATAATGAATGTGAGAAAGATAAGTTACATTGCAATGAAGAAAATCCCAACCGGTTTCCCCTTTTGCTCAATGCTTCATTGCTACTATTAATGTTTACCGATTGCTCATTTTCAGGGGAAATGACATGCTTTTTGGATGCTGATTTTTTGACAAGGCAGATCATTTTAAGAGTATAATAATAAGAATTATTTGGATATAAAATTCACATATCGGTACTAAGGACACCCTACTTAGGCAGTTAATTACTGACTTGTAGATGCCCACCCACCCACATCCCTACTCTCAAAATATATTTTCTTAAACTATTAGCTTTTACCTTCTGTTTCTGTAATATATTTTGTCTATCTAGTTCAGTGTTATTTATTCTAATTGACAGCATGTTCCCAGAACCTCAAGCAAACAGTGAGTCATATCACCTAATCCTTTGAACTGAAAATGCTAAAGGCCGAACCTGAAGCTGTGGAGGATCCTGCCATAAGCATGACATAAGAAATCCATGTAGAAACTGAAATTTCAGTATTTATGAACATTGAAAAAGCATGGGAGAGTAACATGAGAAGACATCAGGTATGGATGAAGGTAGGGAAAATCTTTTCCATTCATCACCTCTTGCAGTTCAGTGACTTTACTTCTGAACAGATCGTTCATGCTGCAACATATTTCATCGAGCTATTCCTCCGTGGTATCCTTGGCGGCTATTTTAAGCTCAGATCATATTACTCCATTCAGCATTTGGCACCCCTTTTTCCTGAGTTGTATTGGACTGATCTTAACAGAAATCATCTCACTGGTTTTTGTTCCCCAGAATTAAAGCTGACAGCATGATCCTTATGATCCTTTCTTTCTCGGTATGTTATTACTTTTGTAACAATGTTTTGCTAGCACCACAGGGGAAATTCAGCACAGTTGTCAGTCAGATAGAGTGAATTATCAGACATGTTAGCTTTCCCTCTCACTTACATTTGCTTAAGAGCTTATAAGCTACAAAGACTGTTTTTTAAATGCTAAATTGAATGGAATGTCCTGTCAAGGATATTTGAGAAGGACTTACAGAATTTTTTCCAGTTTTCAAACACTCTGTTCTGAAATACTCTGGTTTACATAATCAATATGTTCAGAGATCTTCAGTTNCTATGTGAGAAGATCAGGAATTTGTTCAAGCGTACAAATATTCTCTTTACTCATTTATTTACCTTTAAAGAAGCAGAAATATATTCAGATGAAGACTTCTGTTAATTCCTGCATCTCATCCTTATGTTACTTTATACCTTGTGGATAAAATATGGGTGCCCCTGAAAAATAAAACAGCAAAATGAGTGAGGGATAGACAGAGAACTAGAGAGATGAATCCTTGTTTATCCGAATACCTCTTGAACTCATTGTTTGTTTTTTGAAGTAAAGTGTTCCATCTTTTTGTGATTCATTTCATCTTTAAGACACTTACTTTTACTAATGAACAGGGAATTGCTCTCCAAGCAAAGGGTCTTAAGAAGTTGGAACAGAGGAACTATGTAGCAGTCTCAAAAGTTTCTAAAAACCCATGCCCTTTTAAAAGTTTAGTCACAGTCACTGGGCTTGAATGGCAATGGCCATTTGCAATAATGATCATAATAAAGGAACATTTTTTCTCCCACATCAATGAGTGTCATTTGTCCCATTCATCTTGGTAATAAACCAATGGCACAATTAAGTATTCAATCTCTTCAAACATAATGCAGGTTTTGAAGAACAAAGTCATCTAAATAATGAATATTTAAGACAAGGATTGGAGTCTCTGGTCTTCCATTGGTTTTTGGTAACTTGCCCTGCTCAATCTCAACCAAAGCCCCCAAATTGATGTGCCAAATATTTTTTTCTATTGAATAAATAGATGTCACAAATTTATATTCTGACCTTCTAAAATGAGGCTGAGTAATATATAGTATCAAAACAAACTTAGAACATTTCTATCTATGCAACTAATAAGTATGTTTGCCAATAAATATTTTTCTAGATATTATTATATCCATTCATGAAACATTCCTAGTAGAGAAGAAGACAAAAGTAGAAGCAGACTTGGATTCTAGTTCAGTAATAAGCTTGTTGGGTGACTTTGGGCCAATTACTTTCTTTCAGCCCATCCTTCCTTGCAAAGTAGTTCAGAAGAGGGTTTCTGCCGGTTCACCCTGGATTGGGTGAACTGGTAGTGCCCAGCCATCTAAATGCTTCTGCACATGCGCAGAAGTGACATGCAAGGGTGCGGGCATGCATGCACACGCACACACTGACACACACACACATATGAACCGGCAGTAAAATACATTGAAACCCACCACTGAAGTAGTTGTAGGGAAAATTGGGGGAGAGGCTGTCATGAATGTTGCTTTGAGATTCTGAACAAACTGAAGGATAAAAATCTAATAATCCATTCTGGAAATTGTGACTCCATAGATTTATAGGTTTGGAAAATCTGTTTTAATGTTTGTCTAAACTTTCTAGATATTTCTGAGTTCCTGTATGACAATTTTGCCATAAATATTAATAAAACATTCTTTTTTCTCCATCTGCCAGGCATCCTATTCTCCCTAGTGGTTGTACTATATGTTATCTGGGTCCAAGCAGTGGCTGATCTCAAAAACTATGAAGCTCAGAAGAAAATTGACTGTTCAAGTTATTCCATCTATGTACGTTATGGCTGGTCTTTTATACTGGCTCCAGTTGGAATATTTTTTGCTATGTTTTCTGGCATGTTGTTCCTCCTGGTAGGACGTACGATTTATCTGCATTCTGATTAGTTGGGTAGCAGGTGCTTGAACTATCAGTGTGTAGTGAAATTGTGCTAAAAAGGTTTTTTATACCTTGTTATCCTTACTACCATAGAATGCTCATGGTATCATTGAAGATTGACTTAAATGAATAATGTAATTTCATATTGTCTACTCAGTAATACTGGAAATGTGACCTTAGGTTCAGTGAAGATTGCATCCCAGAAATGTGCACAAGATTGTAGCCACTGTTTATATGTTCTTCATATGAAGGAGATGAAAATCCTTTCAGAAATAGGATCCTTTCATATTTCTTCAAATCTTCCTACATGTATTAACACACAAGGGAATATATAAAATAATTAACATAAGAATTAGGTTCTGTCTGCGGGCCAATTCAAAAATTAGTTACTGACATTAACAACTTAATGAAGGAACATTTACAATGAAACTAGGTCTTCTTTTCTTTCCTGCCCAAATATTTGCTGCTGGAAGTAAGGAAAAGGTTGTGAGGTCACCCTTCTCAATTCATCTAAAATAAATTTTGTATTCTGTTTCCGGAAAGATTTCAAATTTAATGTCTTTAGCAATAACATTTTAATGTTATATAATAATATAATAATGCGATTTCCTGAAACAGACATATTTTTTATTCAATAGAGATCTAAATTTTCCCTATCATCAATATTTTTTTTCCAGTGTAAGGAGCTGTGTGCTTACGACAGCCAATAACTAAGATCCAATCATTAATTCGCCTTGTAGTCAAATTGTATCCTTTTCCTAGGCACAAAGAATACAAAATTATATGGGGAAGTCTAGATGCAAACACCCACTTTGCTCCTGAAAGAAGGGCACCTTTGGTCTCCTTAAAAGTCATCTGAGAAGCAGTTTGGACTGTACGTAGTCCTTCATTATAGTATTGTTTGAATTGGTCCTGCAACCTTATTGAACAAACAACTATTCCATGCGATGCTCGCTGTATTTGTTTTTGTTTCAGTTCTCAGTTTTACTATGAGCAAGCAGTTTGGTTCTTAAAAATAATTATCCATGTAATGCTTTAGTCAATGTGTCAGAGAAAAGATGAGATCAGTGGAAGAGTGCTTTGATACTGTTCACTGTAGCTGCAATAAGTCCATGTGGTCCAAATAATAAACAGCTCATCCAAAGGAAAGATGATGGGTAAAAGTTATATAGCTCGGCCCCCCGCAAACAACAGCTGTTGTTGCTTACCTGGGCATCAAAACAATCCATGATACAACAATTATTATTCCATTTTTACATCACATTTTGTTGTCCAGTGAAGTTTATAATTTGATCCATTTGATCATATTGTTTAAACTATTGTCCATCCATCACCTTTTCATAGTCCGCCTTTTCTCTTACAACATGCATAGGAAGGAAGGAAGGAAGGAAGGTCTATGATGGATATGTAGAAGGGGTGATCACATAGAATGGAGAATAATGATATTTTTTAAAAAAGCTCATATATTATCACTTTACCACANTATGTGTTGCATTTGTGCTGATAAATAAATAAAGGGAGACTAGTATAGATCTATTTCAAGCTATTTCGCTCTCAACAGCTAGCCATACCCTTACTGGGATTCGAACCTGGGCTGTTTTTACATGTTAGGCTGTTGTATTAGCCGCTAAACCACAAGCTCTCCTCCCTTATCAGCTGAACCAAGAAAATGATTAAGTATTATGTCAAAGCACCTGATATGCCCAAATATGAGAGAAGAGCTTGTGACTTTATATTAAATTCTATATTAAATTCTAAATGTAGCATATTATCAATTATGAAATAATTCTGATGAGTGAATGAGGCTATTAAACACTCCAGGGGTTCCTGAGTTCACCCCTACAATCATTATTATCCAATTCACATTGTTGGAAGAAATGTCCTTCTAGATTCAGTTCCAAGTTGGGAGAAAGACACTGGAATCATGGAGACTGCTTGGAAAGATGATTTTAATGGTGGACAGGACTACATGGTTTGAGGTCCTGGGGGAAAAGGGATCAGATGCTTTGAAGATCTTTAAAAAAATGGCAGAGATGTTGAGAGTTCCTGGTTTTATGCCCTCTCTGGGCTTTTGAATTTGAGCTTGTATTCTGATTGGTTGTCAAACTCCCATTGTGCCATGCAGGGGCAACTCTGTAGATTGTCTTTTGAGTCCCAAGCTTGCTTAAGCTGTTGCTAAGTGATGATGTAATGAAACGGCTTTGGGATTTTTATTATGGCTCTGATTGAAGGAGGCAGATCTTTGTTATGTAGAATAGACTGGCTCAGTCCTTAATGATCCATTGACAAAGGTGGAGGGGGGATGAGTTTCTGCCTTTTAGGGGGAAATAGTCTGCCCTTTTAATATTTCCTAATATATTTCATTTTCTAGAAGAGGAGTGGGTTTTAACTTCCTACAACATCTTTCACACTTTCCTTTACTATTATCATTTTGTCTCCTTTTGATTCCTGACAATCACTGATTGTGTGTGTGTGTGTGTGTGTGTGTGTGTNGTAGTTTGAGAAGGAGGTAAGTCCTGCAGGTACAACAGGTCAGATATGATTTTATGGAATTGTTTTCTGACTAAAAAGCAGATCAGTGTGCTCTCTCAGACTTCCTGATCTGCTACATTGCATGTTTCTATAAATGTGATCTTGCTATAGAGAAGTCTTGTGCTTCTGGAATAACTCCTGGAACATCAGTCTGGAATTGTAGGTCAATCACTTTGGAAGGGTTAAAGTATTGATTCCACTCACTTGTAGAACACTTGGCAAAATTGGCAAAAGTGTCTGGCTGGAGATGATTAAAGGTACATTTTGCCATAAACATGGTTCTATTTTTAGTTCCTGTTATTTTGTTACTGCATTTATAACCCTGCCTGTTTCTGCTAATACCTGAGGTAGCTTTCAACAATTAAAAATATAACAATTATCCAGTGCTGTCTAGGGACAAGGATAACAGCAGCCTCTGGACAGCTCTCAGCCAGAATTGTATTATGTTGAATACTCTGTTAAGCACAGCAAATGTTGTCATAAAGACATTTTTCATCCAAGATGGATTTCTTTCTCTGTATCAGACTTATTTCCTTGACCTATGAACTTCACATAGAGCTCTGTGACTAAAATATGATTATGGCTTCTGAAGAAGATAGATCTGTACCGAGGGTATTAATCATGCCCACGCAGGTATGCTTTCCATGTGATGAAGGAACAGACTCCATCTGGAAGGGGGGGAAAAGGGAATCAATATGCTTGATTGCTCGAGACTCTTCATTTTGCACTCTGCGGCCCCTTGCTGAGTCGAGCAGCAGGAATCCACAGCATGCCTCTCTAGTGATCTGCCACCAGATGGCAGTAGAGACTGAGGAAATGGCATCACTCTGCCAATACATCTCAGCATTGCTGGTAGATAGAGTCACTATGGATGTTACTGTTATTACTATTATTCCTTTGAAAGAAAAATAAGATGGGCAATAATACAAAGGAATGGTTTAAAAACATATCCTGTTATTTCTACATTTTTATGTCAGTTAAGAGCCGATGTGAATCATCTTATTTAAAAAGCTGATGCTTTTCAAATGGCTCTCACTCAACGATGCTTCCTTAATCCAAATGTTTGTGGAGATTCTCAGTCATTCANCTGTCTGTCTGTCTGTCTGTCTGTCTGTCTGTATGTATGTATGTATGTATGTATGTTGCATTCGTGCTGATAAATAAATAAAGGGAGACTAGTATAGATCTATTTCAAGCTATTTAGCTCTCATCAGCTAGCCATACCCTTATTGGGATTCGAACCTGGGCTGTTTTTACATGTTAGGCAGTTGTATTAGCCTCTAAGCCACAAGGTCTCCTCCCTTATCAGCTGAGCCAAGGAAATGATTAAGCGTTATGTCAAAGCACCTGGTATGGCCAAACATGGTAGGGAGCAGTACCAGCTGCTTTGACATAACACTTTATATACATACCAGTGGTGGGTTGCAGGTGGTACACCCCGCTATGCGTGTACTGGAGCCAGCCCGGAGCACCGGATACCGTTCCGGTATGGTGCTCCGGAAGGCCCACCTGCCCACCCGAGCTCCTTACTGGAGTTTAAAGGCTTTTGCGCTTCCACGCAGGCGCATGGCGTGTACAGCGCCTGCGCGATGCTCCGTGGAGCAGGTGGAGCATCGTGGAGCATCACGGAGGCACTTGAATGCATGTGCATGCTGCACGCGTCCATGAGGACACTGCCGGCCCCGTTCCAACCTATTTGCAACCCGCCACTGATACATACATACATACATACATACATACATACATACATACATACATACAGTGTTTGTATATGTATGTGTCTGCGTATGAATGAAATACATATGCTATTTAGCATTAAGAAAATAATTACTGTGGATTCATAGCGCACAGGCTTAATCCAGCTGTCACATGCATGGCAACACAATAGACTTTGCGATGGCTTTGAAAGAGCTGCTATGCTATATCAGTTTTATAATCCGCAAACTAAGGAGGATTTACATGAGAGGCTGTATTCGCTCTCCCCTGTGGGTTTATTGCTTTTCTTTACCAAGATCCAGCTTTTCAAATAAATTCTGGAACATGTGCTTTTAATCTTAATGGAATAGAATCCTAGTAAGGAGATAGCAAGGCTACTGGTATTGGTAAATGTCCCTATCTACTTTGCTATTATCTAAGAGTTGGCTGCATATTTGCACTCCAGATAGGGTAGTCCTAACTAAAAAAAGGCAATAGCACTTAGACTTATATGCCGCTTCACAGTGCTTTACAGCCCTCTCTAAGCGGTTTACAGAGTTAGCCTCTTGCCCCCAATCAATCTGGGTTCTCATTTTACCCACCTCGGAAGGATGGAAAGCTGAGTCAACCTTGAGCCTGGTGAGTTTCTATCTGCCAAACTGAAGTAGCCTGCAGTACTCCACTCTAACCACTGCACCATTGCAACTCAAAAAAAATTGCTAGAGTAGGAGAGAGGGATTTGTAATCCTCCAGATGTTGAAACATAACTTGATTGTTCTAG